CACAGACGCACAGACACAGACGCACAGACACAGACACACAGACACAGACACACAGACGCACAGACACAGACGCACAGACACAGACGCACAGACACAGACGCCCAGACACAGACACACAGACACAGACGAACAGACACAGACACACAGATACAGACACACAGACACAGACACACAGACACGGACACAGACACAGACACACAGACACACAGACACACAGACACAGACGCACAGACACACACACACACAGACACAGACACACACACACACACACAAGCGACTTGCTTGAAATCGTCAAGACCCAAACTGCCCAAAGCCAGAACACAAACGCTGCTGTATGGGACAGGCCGGACAGGAGGGAAAGTCCGAGCCTCCCTCTGGCAATGCACAGTTGGCGAGCCTCCACGAAGAAAGGCCCGGCCGAGTTTCGGATCGAGCCTTGCCCGGCGGCTGGGCTCTTCGGGGTGGTGATGACATGAACTCTGTCCTGTGATGTGCTGCCATCTCTTCGGCTGCAAACTACAAGCGACTCGAGCAGGAGACAGCGCCAGTTGGCCATGGCCGAACAGCGGAAGAAGGACATCGAGAAGAGCAATGCCGATCCTTGGAAGAGATATGCTGGTGTGCTTTGGTTTCCATTCCCCGAGCTGCAGAAAGCCAGATTGGGCTTCTGGCACATATCAGCGTTTGCGGGCATTTCCTGTGTTCAGCAGCGCCTTCAGTCGCATGTGCTTGCACTACATGCCATGCACACTCAATTCCAGGGTGCTTGCATCTGGGTGCATGTCCTGGTTCACTGAGGACATCAAAGTGGCTAAGCAGGCGACGCTGAAAGGTGAAGTTGCGTGTTGGATTTGCATACCGTGGCTTAGCTTATACCATCATCCACTGTCGCAGGCAGCCAAAAAGGAAAAGGCTGCCAAAAAAACGGCTGCCACAACTGATGACGACGATTTGGACGCGCTGTTGTCGGAATTCACAAAGGAGGCCTGCATTCGAGGTAGAATTCCGTTTCCTCCGGGTTCGAAGTGACGGATGGGCCGAGCGAGGGGCAAACCCGTTTGGCGAACGATCTTTGCGCTAGCTGAGGAGGGCATCTGCAGTTTCGCCAACTGCAAGGACCACAGATCATAAGTTTAGCAACAGCTGGTCAAGGTTCATTCTGATGGATGCCAGAGACGGACCTAGACGTGTACCACATGATTCGCGGCTTGCTCTGAATCTGCGAGGAGAAGACGAACACCTTGATGGACACGTCGTGAGCTCAGACTGTGGGCTTCTTCCACGGGCAACGTCGGCAAGTGGGCCAGCCCATGTGAGGCTCTCCAAGTGCAAGTTCTGCAGCAGCCGCTTCTGCCTCAAGCATGTCCAGGTGTGGTCCAAATGTCTCTTTCAGAACCATGCTTGGCATGCAAAGAGTGCAAAGCAGATGCCAGGCGGAGGTGCATGGCTGTGGAGATCAGGCACAGCGCATGGAGCAGAAGAAGTGGAAGGAGGCCTGCGCCGACGCCTGGCTCTCTTTGGGAAGTTTGAGCATCTGGCAGAGACTCGCTGCCATGATCAACCTTCATAAAACTATGAAGATCCGGATCACAGACCCGCTGTGAGTTCACGCAGTGCCCACCCCGCACTCTTGCGGGCTCGGGGACAGACTTAGGTTTCATGCTAGTCGCCTCAAGTAGCCACCTAGGCGGGTTCGCGCGGCAGCGGCTTGGTGAACCGGTCTGCTGGCAAGGATGGACGAGGTGGCCGCTGTTCCTTCTCGTAGTGTTCAGATACCCCATGCTTCGCTACTTGTACCTTATTCGCGTCGCGATGCGAACAAGCCAGCCCAATGGACACTCTATTGAGATGCTTCCGCCTCCCTGGCCAAAGTTCTGCAAATCGTCTCAGGTAGGCAGCCTTCTTGGAAACTAGGCTGTAGGTCCGTACTCTTGTCCTTATTGGACTTGGCCCGCTTGGCACGTTGAGAAGGCGCACTCGCGAACAAACTGCAAGAGAAGGTGGGGGGCAGACTTGACCCGAAGGGACCCAAAGCGTGTCTTCCCTGTCACTGTGTGCAGGTCAAGGAGCAGGAGGCCAGCAGGACAGCCAAGAAGAAGGAGAAGAAGTGAAAAGATCCGTGCATCTGCTGACGGGGCCTTGCACGGATTCAGATGTCATGCAGCACGGCTTGATGAATGAAGCAGCAGTTTCCAAAGTAGGGCAGCAACAGCACATTGAACTTGCAAGATGTTGAAACCTTCGACAGCCAACCTTTGCACATTGGACAGATGTGATCCCCATTCTTGTAGCATTCACCGATATGGATTCCCACACCGAGCTTTTGCAGACTGAATTTATTGTCTTGCCCTCTGCTGGCCTCCGCATCCATGTCATGGACGATGGGGCCCAGTCCGCCAGCGAGGTGATGAGGGGTTCTGGCAGTTTTCAGGCAAAGAGGATAGGTCTGCGGTCTTGTGCATGGCGGGCATGAGTGCACGACCGTCGCCATGAGGCTTGAAGCCGAACTTACTTACACTGCTAATGCAGCCCTTGCTGTAGCAACAAAACAATCGAAGTTAGCTTGCTTTGGGACCCGTCTGCTTCAACCCTCAGCTTGAATCATACAAACAGAAAGCTTCAACAACCCTGCAATCCTCCCGCCGTCCATTCGCCTCATGCGTGTGTGGCGCGACCTGGAGGTCCTTTGACTCACCAATTTCGAGCCCCGGTGGAGAGTGTACGGTTGCAAGTTAAGCTGTTGGCCTTGACTTGTAAGACAGCTGACAGATTGAATGACAGATTGTGTCATACACGCAAAGCTGAGGAATACTGACTGCTCCAGCCACGTTGGTGCTTGGACGGTTTGAAACCGGTATCTTGTTTATGGCTAAAAGGTGAAAGCACTGAAGCAAAACCGATTTGTGCACGTGGTGCGCCTTTCAGCATGACAAAGGTATGTTCCAACTGGAGGCATTGGCTCCCGTTGGTGTTTGCCGAGGGCAGTGTAATCAATTATTGCGCTCACGCAGCAGGACCTAACGTGGACAGTATCGGGACGCACGGGGTCCTGGCATCCTCTACCCCGCAGCGAGAGGCCCTGGCATGTAGGTTGGCACAAGTGATGGAGTGCGGTTTGTGCGAGGCTGCGGCTGGAGCTGGCCCGGCTACGGGCCGAGTTGGCCAGGCTGCCGCAAGGCCAGGTGATTCTTTTCGCAAAAGCAGCATGACGAATGTCATATGTCATATGCTTCGCTAGGCCACCCGCCTGCTGGCAGCGGTAGCATCAGCAAGCCCAGCTGCAAGACGTCGGTGTCTGCGGCACTAATGTTGCAAGCATGTTGCCGCCGTGGCCAAGGTTGCTATCGCTGTATAGACAACTTCGTCATCATTTTTTCACCCGGCCAGTGGTTGTCCCAGGAAGAAGTTATCATACAGTTGCCATTCAGTTCACCTCAGCAGCACAAGTACGTTGCGTTTGAGGTCTTCAGCAGCCTTGTGTGTCGTTGAGGTGGCCTAGGCGCACGGTGTTTCGGAGATGCTGCGAGCATGCATGCAGCTGCCACTCGCCCGCATGGACATGTCAGGCCTGAGGCTGCCAACAACGCCCGAGCCGTTGCTACGCGCAGCGAGTTCAGAAAAAAATTGCGCATGCTTGCTTTCAGCACACGCATTTCAGCACACGCAGGTGTGAGTGCACGCGCACATGTGAGCATGTTTGGAGCATTGGGTGTCCACACGTGCACGTGCACTTGTCGGGTACCACATTTTCGTTGTTGAAGGTGGACTCGGGGGCCGAAGATGCAGAGCGGGAAGAAAGGCCTCGCAAGACATGTGAGATCATGTGAGATAAACCTTTGTTGTGCATTCGCGACGTTGATTGAAACAACTACTGTCCCAAATTGACTGAATCATGCAGCCCAATCTTTTGCCGATAACGTCGTCGGTGACAGAAGTGTTCTCTGTTTGGCATGATAGATGTCGGTGAGGCGTCAGCGCGTTCCGGTAGCTGATGCACAACTAGCACCGTTGGAGGCTTGATGCTCACTTAGCGTTGTTGCAACCTGTTGTCACACTTGAGTTGGAAGTGTTGGTTGCCGGGTTTTGGCTGGAGCGAGTTTTCAACATAGCCGAGTGAGTTGAGCCAAATTGCAGCGGCTCGCAACTAGCATGTTTTTATGGGCACTGAGAAATTAAGCCGCGATCTAATTAGATTTTAATCAGCAGGTGCACTTCTCGCAGATGCGAGCGAACCCACATTTCCGGGACGGGCGCTCCTTGGTCGAAGTGGGTGCCTAAGATGTGTTTGAGAGGATTACAGTTGCAATTGCGTTTCTGTCTCAAGCTTTTGATTCCTGCTTTGAGCAGGCCATCGAGCAGATCAAACACGTTCCTTTTGAGGCACGCATCGATGCCACGGTTGCAACATTGCACAGCATTCGAAGGAGCGATCCTGAACACATCTGGTCATTTATAAAGTGAAATCCGGTCCTTATTATTTGGTATCGAAAACACCGTTTCCACCTTTGAGTTTGAACGGCGACATAGTCACTATGCTGGTTCCTTAAATTCTCGCAGTTGCAGGGCACTTCCGATCGCGATGACACACCAGCTGCAACCTGAGATGTGCTGGCTGTTCATGCGTGCGTCAATCGGCTTTTGCCATTTTGCGAAAGCCAATGTTTCCTCCTAGCATGGCAAGACAATCGTCAATGCACAGGTTTCGTGATGAGAAGTCGATAAAACATTAGGTTTTGCCGGGTGCATTGTCGAACGAAGAACCAATGAGTGGTTGCGATTTCGACGCAGCCGCGCGGTTGTCACACGTTCCTGCAGGTTTTTCCGCCCGCCAATAGCGGACGAAACTGACTTTGGATGTTGCAAACAACGCAGGTGTGGCTGCTGAAGGCACCATTCCCTCCGATTGAGGCCCCGTTTTGGGGACTTTTTAAATCCCCATTTTCGTTTCTTTGCGGCTCGGAGGTGTTGAAGTGGCGATGCAAGCTGCGAGACGAGACAGGTTCATCGGGATGTGTTTCAAAGACATGCTTCTTAACTGTTTGTTCGAATCAGTTCGATACTGCTGGAGCTCCGCCTATCGGCTTCTGCGACACTGGCCAGGCAAGCCCTTGATTGATGCAGAGACAGGCGGAGAACTCATCGATGCAGAGGTTCTTGGCGTGGGGGAGTTGAGATAAGGGTCGAACTCTCGGGTGTATGCATCGTCACAAAACACGTGATGTGCGCGTGAGCCTCTGGCTCTCGTCGGTGTCCCAAAGTGCCAAAATCCAGGAACTCCTACCAACAACTTCGGGCCCTCGCCAACAGGTGCATCATTCAAGTTTTTTGCAACCGCAGCCGAAAATCTGAAACATTCTCCCTACTGCAGGATTCCAACATGTTCATGTAGAGCACGTCGCACTCATGCAGATGAAGCCTGAAATGGAACTGGCATGAGGTACATAATGGCTTCATTAGTTTGCGCCCGAAGCTTCAGGATTAACAAGTGCAGCCCTTCTGCCGGCTAGAAGCAGGACCGCTGGTTCACGCTGGATAACCGTCGCCTATACTGCCTCCAGAAGGCCTTCCCGCTGTCCTTCCGAAGCTTTCTAGTGTGCTACCCCTGTTGACCGATCACTAAATTCGAAGTCCAGAATCTGCACTGCAAACGAGCCTTCCCTACTTTCATTTCATGCCTTTCAGTGCTGTTAGTAGTATTCCTTTTTCCAATCCCAACTATCATTGCTACTGCTACCCTACGACCACGGCCTTACCTTGTGCACAATTTCATTTCTGGTCGCAGCTGGTGGTTTCAGTCGTGCCACCAAGCTGTTTAGGGTAGTGCAGGAGGCACGCGAGCAAATAATGGGCAGCCACATACGCATGCCTTGTTTCGACCCTCCCTGGAGGGGGCTTTGTACATCATGTGCTGAGGTTGTGGTATAGGTGCTTGGAGCGTGGTCTAGCGGGCTTCTGGTTCGAGTGACAAGCTGCAATAGGCACGGAGCCTCGTCAACAGGGGAACTGTGAAGCGAGTGCTTCTGGGATCAGCCCAGCGAGGGGCAGGTCAGACCGCAGGTTGCAGTACGGCTGCAGTGTGATGTGATGTGGTCGTTGTAAGCATACGGTCGGTGAGCTCCACCCGAAGCCGCAACAAGTGGTGCTAAGGCTGCAAGGAGGGGCCAGATCCAGCAGGAATGGGTTTGAAGGGTTCGTTTGGTCCTCCCCGGGGATTATTATCCGAAAATAATGATAATAATGATGACTGGCAGTATTGGAAGTACTAGTAGTGTGGCGTGGCTCATGACCAAATCCTGAATTTTTGGATTTGTGCTCCCTGCGCCCAGGCTGCCGTGGCTTTGTGGCCCCAGCGTGCCGTGGCTGAAGTCTCGCGGCTTCCGCTGGGATGCCTGGAGAGAGTGTGAGCCCAATGAGTCAAGGTTGAAGGCGGCCTCCGGCTTTCGCTTGGGGTTTCGGGACACAAAGCTCTTCCAGCGAATGCAGGAGACCTGCCAACCGACTCCATGCATCAAGGAAACAGACGCTATTCATCAAAAGCAGGCTGCAGTGGCATGTGCTTTATGCAAGATGAGGGGAGCGGGATCATCTACGCAAACCCCATCGAGACCGCCAGCCCTGGATTCCTAGACTAACCTGGAGGCTTGTTGCATCGAAGCCTGAGCACTAGCTGAGTACAGTTCCGTCACTGACTGCAAGTGCTACAAGTTATTACGTTGCATCGGAGAAAATTGGTTGGTTGCGGTCTGTGTGAAGCCGTTATGCACA